TTAGGACTACTGGGTTCGTATGTAACGTAGTGAGATGAGAGCTAACGTGTCCATCCAGAACGACGGGTTGTGCAGGGGTGACTCTTATGGCCCAAAAATTACCAGGATCGAGGTCGTCACTGACAAATGTGCTAGTCTGTGAGATAACAGACTGTGCGCTATTCGTCTTACTACTGCCGATCAGCTTTACGTGCCACTCCCGTCCAGGACTGGAGGCCTTCAAATTCAGGTTTTATGCACGAAAACTGCAACTCTCTTCCTCCGAAGTCTAAGTTCGAGGCATACAGAGTAAAAGAAACAAATTCACAAGGGTTATTAGTGTTTTACTCTGACCTTAAGATCCACACTAGGGCTAGTATCGGGACCAGTTTAATTTTGGGCGTGAAGTGTTGCTTACAACAATGCGAAAAAAGGCAAAGAAGTTGAGGCTGAAAAACCGGGGATTATGGCAAAGGCGTGCATCTGCCAGGTACCACAAGGCACCTTAAGCATTCATTTATTCCTGTCCTTTTCCTTTCTTGGTAGACACTTGCGGTGATGATTCAGTGCTGCAGATCACTAAGCTGCATTGGCGAAGCGATAGTCTTCTGTCAATCTGGATCCATCAGGGGTGCACTGATTACCACAGGTCTTCAGATTATCGAGTCCCTTCGCTGCGATGGAAATCTCGCGCTGTCATACACTTTCAACTCGCTGCATGGCATCGCCACGTTCTCCCTGGAATTTTGACCTACTTGAGGCCCTGGCCAATCTCCAGTTCTCCAATTGTTCTCAGTCCAAAAGGACAACTTGTTGCGTGAGTGAGGCGAAGGAAGACCCCCTCCCTCCCTTTGTACGTCCAAAAGGCGGTAATGTAAAGTGCAATCACTCTTTTGTTCCTTTAGGGTGCATCAACCAGCCTGAGGTGAGTGCCTCCAACACAAGGGAGATTCTTGAAATGACAAGAAACGAACGAGTTACGGAATTCCTTCGACACCTTTCCGATCAGATGCTAATGTAAATACACTAAAGACACTTTGAATACCCATTGCATTGATTTGTTTGAAAAGGGCACAGAAGGCTGCTAACCATATTTAAGCCCGCCTTACAGTCAGTGAGACTACCGTTCAAAACACATTTTTGGCGTGAGAAGACGGGTCAAGTCGATGATTATGCGTCCACCTCATCGGGGTAAGAGGCACGAAGCAGGCAACCTTCCATTAGTGTCAGAATCCCACGAAAGGGACCACAAGAGAAGAGAACTGAGCACACTGAAAGTGGTAACTCCTGATGTGACACTCGTTCGACGCACTCATTAGAATGCAGCAAAAGAAGTTCCAAACAATTCGAAATCTGAATTAGAATGGCTTATTTCTGAGACCGCATAAATTTTTGGCAGCGCCAAAGTCGGCGGGGGACACAATCCGTGTCTGTCAGTGCCCCCCTGGCCTCGACAGCAATCAAGGCAAGAAGAGATGATCGTGAAGTACTCAAACGCACTAATATTTGCACTTTATACAAGTTCGCATTCGTCAATCCAGTCACTGTACACGTCAATCCCCTAGCTGAGTGCATTCACAGACGCCTGGTAGTCCTCCAGGCATATTCCACACTTCACGTAACCAGTCCTCTTTTCCCTATTGCTGAAACAGTCACGTCAAAATGAGCAAGCAGCATGCAATTGCACTTTACAAAGGCCCTCGCGGTTACAAAAAGGGCAACTGAATTGCTTCGGCAGTGGCTCAATCACCTTTGCCTTGGGTGGGGCTTGCGCGTACTAGTCCTCCGACCCATCACAAAGGCACACCTAATCGGCCAGCTGATTTGTCTGTTTGTAGCAAACGTGTGAGGGTTGCTCCCTTTTTACCGGTTAAAATAATCATTGCTTCGCCTAAATACGTCACGTTTAAAGGTTTAATTTTCAAGAAAAAACATTTTAAGATTCGCATTGAAGCGAACGACTGAATTGATTGTCCCTTTTTGATGTTGGCACAGAAATCTTGAAACCTATACAATCGGCACGCTCTGCAACTAACCATATTAGTTTTTCTCGACGGTAGTTTGCATCAACTACTGCAATTTAGGGGGCCCCAAGTCCAAAATGGCTTCCTGGACGCTGTACTGCCCAAATCAATCACCACAATGTTTACTCGAACCCAACTTTAGTCTATGGTAGGAGAGCAAATGTTAAGAAATAAGCTACTAGCACCGATAACAGTAGACTTATCACAAGACATGGCTTCAGGGAGGGAAAAGGATTAAAAAGGTAGCGGATGAATGAGAAGTGTTGATGCGGTTATTGGCAGCTTTACGTAGATGTTAGTTTCAATAA